GCTCATTGTTTTCCTCACACTGGTCTCTTGGAAAGTCGCTTTCTTCCATCAGGAATTCATTAGCATTGATGGAAATTTCTGCACTCCATCAGTATACTGGAGGGTTCAAGCACTGTTGGGATCAGCCACTCCGAGTACCCAATCTTTATGAACAGATTCCTAAAGAGGTTCACTCCCTCCAGGACACTTACAAAGCACCTGGCCTAATGCCTTAAAAATTGGGAAAAGGCTTTTCAGGGTTTGATTTGATTGATCTTGGAGCTACGTCTATCTCTTGAGTCCTGACTCTGCCAGCTGCAGCAATTGGATGTCAATGTAGGGAGATCTGATTCCATTCCGTTTGGAGGAAAGAGTCATTTTAGGACACAAGTCTGCAGGGCCAGCTTCTGCTTCTCTCTCTCCATCACATCTCAGACCACTCCCCCATCATCCCTCTCGTTGGCTTCTTCACCAGCCCCAGGGCCTTTTGTCCCCATTGATTCTCTACCTGGGCCACTCTTTCTCTCTCCACACCCCCAACACATCTCTGCCCAGAAGATCCCCACTCAAGTCTGTCTCTTCTCCAGGTAGCTCTTCCCAGACCTCTTAGTAGCCTCAGCTGGTCTCTTTACATTCTCATAGCCGCCTACTTCTACCTTCAGTGTAATTTTCTCAGCTTCTGACTATGTATTCATGAATGTGGTTGTTTCACTAATGACTGTCTCCACCCAGTAAGTGTAAAGTCCTTGACAGCATGGACCATATCTAATTTTTCTCCAATATATTTACCATGCCTGGGATCTAGTAGGCAGCTAATAAAGATAGCAGGAAAGAGAGACGGAGACAGGGAGGGAGGAAGGGAAGGACGGAACGGAGGGAAGGAAAAGAAAGGAAGTCTTACCTAAAAACATTGCCCTCAATGTGGAAAATGGCCCTTTTTGTGTAACATCGTTAAGCGTCCCCCAGCAGAAGCAGCTCCACATCTTGCCCACAATCAGGAGAGCTTCATGAGGTCAGCCTGGAAGATCTGATTTCACACAGACACTTTCCATTTCTGGTGGAAAGGCCCCAGAAGGCCTCGATCTGTCATCAATAGATACCGCTGAGGTTCAAGATGTCTTCCTAGTTGATGTGCAGCTGACAGCATTGGGGCTCCAGCTCCATCCGTCTTTGGAGAATGGCCTTGTGCGGTCAGTTCTACTGCGGCCCCTTTTCCAGCAGTGACTTTCCGCCCAAGCACCCTCTCACATACTTGCTGGGGTTCCCTCTCACTCATTTGTCTGTTTCCTCACCCATTTTTGAACACAAAAACATGTTTGTGTCTGTTCACTGCAAGAGCAACCACAAGTGCCATTTCTGCTTGTTTGTGGCACTAACACACTACAACTATTCTTTTCTCTTCATCTTGTGCCTCATTAGTAGCACAATCATTGTAGTCACCATTAACAGCTTTTAAGTGACTGCATCCCACAGCGATGTGAACCAGCTTCCTCCCCAGGAGGCTTGGCTCAGTCTACGGATAGTGTCAGTGTACGGCCCCCTCCTTCCCTTCCCCTTTCCTCCACCCTCGCCATGAAGAAGACGCACAGTGCACACACCATGCAGCTTCCACAACACAACCCGCGGACCAGAGCCAAGTTCCTTGTGTGTACTGAAGAAGCCGGTGTCCCGGGGTGCAGCAGGGGCTTGTCCAGGGCACACAACCAGCTGGCAGAGATCAATTAGGAGTCTGCAGCTGCCATCCAGGTCATGGATGTTAGCCATCTCAATCAACTAGGAAGTGATGCTGGAGAGAAAAGGATGAATCCAAGAGGTATTTAGGAAGTGAAATAGAGTGCTTTCTAAATAACAAATGCTTTTCTAAGTGCTTTGGATATATTAACTCCTCGCAACACTCAAGCACAGTGGGCATTCTTTATGGACGAGGACATGGAGCCACTGGGGCTGGGCATCCTAAGAGTCTGATCCCGAAGCCTCCATCTTTGCCATTATGCTATTGTGCCTTCTGCTCAACTATCTGCTTGCTACAGAGTGAAGACCGCCCACTTATTTGCATCCTTCCACCTGAACCGCCCCCTACACACACACTCATGTCTACAGTAGATTGGCAGGAATGGAAGCAACTGAGACGTGTAGATGCCCAAGGGGTGGGCCAGGCCAGAGAACGCGGCTGTGCAGCATGGGTGCACCCAGTCACAGCGAGAGAGAGCACTGCCTTGGTTGCCAGATCTGCTTCAGGCCACGCTGAGCAGCCTGGGCTGGCTCGTTGTTCTGCTGAGCTCGTGGGACCTCCTCCAGCTGGACTTGGGAGAGGAGCCGAGCCCTGCTTTGACTTCTTTTTCACTGATCTGACCCTTGGGCTATGAAGGAAGGGAAATAAGAGGATTCAGGAGTCTGAAACAGCTACCCTCTGAGCCCAGCTGTGCCACTTCTGAGCCGCCTTACTTAACGTTTGTAAATCTGTTTTCTCCGTGCAATTTCACAGTCCCTGTCAGGATTCGAGCTCCCATTTTTCACATGCTCTGAGGAGCCATAGCTGCATCCGTGTCCTCCCCGTCGTACTGTGAGCTCAGCAACTTGCAAAACTTTGAGACGTTCAGGGAGGGAAAGAGCGCCGGAGGCACAGGGGTGTCTCCCCAACTGTGGCAGACAAAATCCTGCCTGACGAGACGCCGCCTTAGCCTCCTCTTGTTGGTTGCCTATGGGTTGTTTACCCCCAAGGAGCCAGGGATGATGATGACAAGTTGCCAAGTCTTTGAGCAACACCACCTCCCTTCATCACAATGAGACCTCACGGCAGCTCCGGACACAGGCGAAGAGAACCCAGAGGTCAGGACCTGAGGTTGAAGGGAACAACAGGATGGTGACACAGGTGAGAATAAAGACATCAAGCAGAGAAAGGGTTCTGTTTTTGCAAAGAGGAATTCAGGGATGTGCCCATGGGCTGAGCGTGAGCTCTTTGGGTACATGGCCATTCTCTGGCAGTGGGTGAAGGCAGGACACAGCCACCATGCCTGTGAACTCACAGGAAAGTGGTGCCTGGGAAGGGCATGAGTGTTTATTGAAGCATCTTCCCTCATTCTTCTGCAAAACAGCCCGAGAGACTGGGCAGCTTAGGGACTGGCACCCTTACCCAAATTTGCTTGGAAAATAAGACCGTTTCAGGCCTGGGATGTCATTGCTGACTGTGATGGTAAACAATGTCAACACACGCCTGGGCATCAATGTGGGATTTTTGTTTTGTTTTGTTTTGTTTTGGTGAGGAAGATTGGCCCTGAGCTAACACCAGTTCCCAATCTTCCTCTTTTTTGTTTTTTTCTCCCCAAAGCCCCAGTACATAGTTGTATATCCTAGTTGGGAGTCCTTCTAGTTCTTCTATGTGGGATGCCACCACAGCATGGCTTGATGAGCAGGTGTAGGTCCACGCTCAGAATTCCAACCAGTGAACCCTGGGCCACTGAAGCAGAGCTTGCAAACTTAACCACTACACCAGTGGGCTAGCCCCGTCAATCTGTTATTGATCAAAATCCAATATGGTATAAGATGGTGGTTCACAAGCTTTGCTGCACCTCACAGTCATCTGGACCTTTTAAAAATCCCGCGGCACCATGTACTATGTGGCCTTTTGTGTCTGCCTCCTTTCGCTGAGCATACAGCATTGAAGGTTCATCCTGAGGCATGTATCACTGATACACTGAGGCATGTATCAGTGCTTCGTTCTTTTTGACATCTGAGTAATATCCCACTGTATGAATCCAGATTTTGTTCATGGAGTCATTCACCAACGGATGTTTGAGTTGCTTCCACCTTTTGGCCATTGTGAATAAGAATAAGTAAATCCATAGAGACAGTGACTAACCCAGATTAATGGTTGTAAGGGCTGAGAGAAGGGGAGGATGGACAGTAGTTTCTCAATGGGGCAGGGTTTCCATTTGGGGTGATGAAAACATTGTGGAACTAGATAGAGGTGATGGTTGCGCAACATTGTGAGTGTGCTCAATGCCACTGAGTTCTTCACTTTAAAATGGTTGCAATGGTAAATTTTAAGTTATATTTGTCCTGGGCCCCAACTAAACCAGATCTCTGAGAGTGGAAGCCTGCATTACAGTTCCTTAAAACTCCTTCAGTAATACCAACGTTCAGCCAAGTTGGGGAACAGTGGTGTAAGGGAGGGGGAAGAAGCCACGTGAATCGAGCCCCCACATTTCCCTGGGCAGGTGCTGTTTCCTCTGAGGCCCATGCCAACCGTCCTGTCAGCACATCTGGTCCTTCCCTGTCACCTCATCCGGGCTGTCTCCTTTTTAAACGCACATCACCATCTGCATTATCTGGTTCATCCACTTGCTCGCTTATTATCTGTCCCCTCCCACAAAACCAATCACATGGGCCCCTTTTTAAAAATACGAATGTTGGGACCCCACCTTGATCGCTTAAATCAGAAACTCCTGGGGGAGAACCCAAGAATCTGTATTTTTAAGAGCTCCCCAGGTAATTGCAACATGCAGCCGTGGAGGAGAAGTGCTACCTTGTAATGTGAGCCTGCCAAAACTGTGTCTGCAGCTCCAAGAACGGGGTCAGACCCAGAGCCTGCCAAACTGCCAGGTGATGCTGGGTCACTTCACAGAAATTACTTCATTTCATCCTCAGAACAGTTCTCAAGTAGGTTTTAACAAGTGAGGCAATTCTGGCTCAGAAAGGTTAGGTGGCCAGCCTGCAGCCACACCAGAACAGGAACGAGTCAAGGGATAGCCCAGCTTGCTTTCTGTGCCGGGCTGGGTCAGGGGTCTCCTCCCAGCTCCACGGCCTCCTGTATCCCCATCTCAGCACTGGTCACTCTAACCTCTGTCTACGGGCTCTCTGGATCCCCCCAAAAGAGCTCCAGGAGGAGAGTTCACCATCAGAAAATAAAACAATAAAGTGAAGATTAGACGACTATTGAATTAGTAATAATAATAAATGTAATAATAGTACATAATAGTAATAATAAATGTAATTCATCAACTTAATTAGGTGACTAATTAACTAGTGATTGCTCATCCTTTTCTGCCTTACCCTTCTGGCTTGTGCTCCACTAATACGTCTTGAGCATTTATTCTTCAGCTCCCCGCCCCAAGTCCTGTGTCAGATGATTTCATACTATAGTCTCGATGGGGAAGGTGGCATTATTCCCAGTTTATACTTGAAAAATTAGGGAGCACGAGTATCAATTCTGACAATGCCAGGCATTTGCTCCCCATCCACAGACCTTTATTGAACATTTTCCATGAGCCATGCTGTGTGCTAGGTAAACACAACATGTGTGGCTCATGGTCTCACCAGCTAGCTGTCCTTTGGGGAAGGCAGACATCAAACCAGCATTATAAGAGCAACGTGATTGCCCAAGAGAACTGCAGGGAGCCCTGGAAATTGGGATCTGACCTGGTCCAGGGAGAGTTCAGAGACGGCTTCCTGCAGGATCTTCATTTTACCTGAGATCCGATTATCTTCTAACAACCAATGGTTATCGTATCACTCCCTAGCTCAGAATTCCTCAGTGGCTCCCCATTTCCTATTGGATAGAGGACCAACTCATTTTGCTTTACCTGAGACTTCTCCTGGTTTTTTGGCACTGAAATTTCTGCATCTTGGGAAATCCATCAGCCCTAGGAAAATCAGAATGGTCGTTCTCCCTACAACCCAGCCAAACCCAGACTCGTACAGTAGCTTCAAGTCCCTTCATGATCTGACCCCTTCCTAGACTCACCTTTCACTACCTGGGCTCACCTCTCACCACCACCATCCCTTACACTTTATTTTCCAGCTACACGGCAGCAGGCATGGTACCTTGAAGGCACCAAGCTCTCTCCTTCACCTCTGCTATTGCCCACACTGGGATTCCTCTACATGGGCTGCCTTCCCCACGTGCCCACCTGGAAAGCCCCTCCTCATTCCTCAGGTCTCAAATGAAACACCAGCTCCTCTGGGAAGCCAACCTGCAACCTTATCATCTTAGACATGGATCCCTCCATGGAGCCTTCACACCAGATTGTCCTTCTCCAGCTAACTAATTGTCAGATAGCTCTGATGAATATAATTAATTTAACTCGTGAGTTAATTAATTAGCAAATAGTTGGTCCAAAAAATGTGTAGTGACACATCCTTCTCTCACACACTGACACTGTGTAAATATGTGTCTCATCAGAGGAGCCAGGACATTCTGAAGTCTCGTCATTGATGGATTAAAGGAGGAACTGATGAGGAACCATCTCTGCCATCACGGCAGTGCATTCATCCACCCAGCTCTTCCTTCTTGTACACCTACTATGGCTTTGAGTGAAATGTTCAAAGCTGGCCCTCGCCCCCAGGGACTGGACTGTCTGGACCCACCTGCTTTCCCGAAGAAAGGCTGCCTCGGGAAATACCCTTTTCAGTGCTGGGCACATGGGGTTGGACCCTCTTAGGACTCCCTCTGAGACACTCAGTGGTGTGCTGCAGCCAGCTCTTCCCAACTCCACCTTCAGTGATGCCATGAAAGTGGCATCAGCCACCCTGGGAGTATTTACACCATGGATGTTGGCACACACTACAAATCAGGACTTCTTTTGCTTTTTGTTGTTTGCTTCTTCGTTTACAGCAAGCCGGTTGTTAAATGTTTTCCAGCACATCGTTGCAAACATTCACATCCCCGATTCCTTCTTCTAAGATCCAGGCTTCTTAGCTGACCAGGCTCTATGAAAGAATGAGATTTCAAAAAGGGAGAAGGTCGCAGAAGCAGAGTTTAGCTAAAATGTTTGGCATGCAATGTTGGATCCAGCTTGACTGGGTCCTTCTCTGGTTTTTGTTTCTCTTCCAATGAATGATGTGTGCTTTCTATACCATCACAGACCAAGGCGACAGCATGTCTCCCAACCTCTGAAGATGACTCCATGCACTCCCAGGGGTATTGGTCTATCCTCTCCTGAAATGGTCAGACCTTCCCTGGGTCAATTTGAAGAAACATAAGAAAGGATGCTTCCCAACATGCTTCGCATTCACAGCCTGACAACCTGCAAGCTGTACCCCTGCACAGAAAACTTATGTTTGGGACATGATCTATAATTAATACTTGTCACGGTGCTAGGGATAATAACGAACTTTGCAAGATCTATGGGTGCTCTTGGTGACAATGAAGATGGAGGAGGAGGAAGAGAAAGAGAAGATGACATGAGATTGTAATTGGCACAAAGATAGACTACATCAGTTTTATTTACTAATGTTGACCCAGCATCAGACATAGTGCTCAGTAAATATTTGTGGAATAAATTGAACGAAGAAGGAGGAGAACTAGGAGGAGGAAAAGGAAGAGATGGAAAAGAAGAAAACATAGCATTCTCCTCTGCCAAGAACAAGCACGGCCAGGTGCTTTACATACAGCATACTTTTCTGAATCCCCCCTGCAGCCCCAGAAGGTAGGTCTTCTTTCTCACATGAGTAAACTGAGGCTCAGTGGGAATATTCTGTGTTGTTGAGGATTCAGGGAAGTGGGCCCTCTGTCATATATTGTTTGAGATGGAAGGCAAATTGCTAAAGCCTTTGGGGAAGGTAAGTTGGCAGTCAGAATTTATCAAGATTTTTGATGCCTATGCCCTTTGAACCAATAATTCCACCTCTAGGAACCCCTCCTCTGGAAGAAGCTCAATCTTGTGCCTAAGGAGGAATGTACAAGGTTGTTCACGGCAGCATTGTCCTGGTGAAAACTGGAAACGCCTGAAACATCCATCAGCAGGACAATGACTAAACAAGTTACCATATGTCCATTCTGTGGAATATTGTGCAGTTTATAAAACCAATGATGTAGCAAATGCACTGGAATGGCTTAAATGAAAAAGATGGGGAGTACCAAGTGTTGGCATGGACCTGGAACCTTCATGCACTGCTGGTGGGACGGTTAAAGTGGTACAACCCTTTGGAAAATGCTTTGACAATAACTACTTAAGGTACACATGTGCATTCCCTATTATTGAGCGGCTCCACTCAAGTATATACCCAACAGAAATGTGTACATATATTTATTGAAAGTCATGTACTAGAATGTGCATCACTCCATGGCTTGTGATCTCCACAAAACTAGAAACTACCCAAATGCCCATCAATAATAGATTGGATAAATAAGTTTCAGTATATTCACAAAATGGAATACTATAAAGCACGTGTCCTCAATGAGAGCAACATTCTACCTCCACAGGGGCAAAAATTGGTTTGGGGGGAGTAAAAAATATACATATATACATACAATATAGAGATATAAATAGAGATAGAGGATAGACAGACAGATAGATAGGTATAGATGATAGATGGATGATGGATAGAGATATACAGTATATCTGTGGTATTAAATTTCATGGAAGTAATTATGGAAAATGTCTAAAACGGGTTGTTGGGGGGCAAAAGTGAAAAAAAAGATTGAGAAATACTGCTATTAAGAAACAAGACTGAAGATCTACAGACATGTGTGCAAAAAGATTGAATCCCGCAAACATAGTGTTGAGTGAATGAAGCCAGACACAAAAGACAACATACTCTATGACTCCATTTATGTAAAGTACCAAAAGCAAGAAAAGTTCATGTCTAGTGTGTTCCATATCAAGGTAGTGTTTGGGGAAGTCAGGGGAAGGGTAGTGACAAGAAAGGAAGCAGAAGAGGAAATCCAGGGGCAGGGAGCTGGTCACATTCTTTTCCTTAATCAGGTCCTGGCTGCACAGATGTGTTCAGTGTGTGAAAATTCATCAAGCTACATGCTTAAGATTTGTGCTGTTTTCTGCATGGAGGTGACTCTTCAATAAAAGGTTTTTAAGAAGAAGACAAAAAATGAGTTTGTTCCATATGTACCAACATGGAAAGATGACCCAGGCATGTAATTAAGTGAACAAAGCAAGTAACAGAACAATTCAGTAGAATGAGCCAATGTATGTAACAAACAGCTATAAATGCGAAAGTCAATGCAAAGATGGGGATTTGGAGAAACACTGCCCAGGCTGGTGCCTGAGTTAGTTTGAAACAAAAGGAAGAATTAGGGGAATGAGAATGTTCCAGTTTTTTAAATTTTGTTCAGTGGCAAAATGTACAAACATGAAATTTACCATTTTGACCATTTTTAAGTGTACAGTTCAGTGGCATTAAGTACATTCACATTGTCATGCAGTCATCACCACCATCCACCTCCAGAAGTTTTCGTCCTGCAAAACTGAAACTCTGTCCTCAGGACACACTAACTCCCCATGCCCCTCCCCCAGCCCCTGGCCCCACCATCCTACTTTCTGTCTCTATGAATCTGACTCCTCTAGGCACCTCATATGAGTGGGATCACACAGTATTTGTTTTTTTGTGTCTGGCTTATTTCACTCAGCCTAATGTCCTCAAGATTCATCTATGTTGTGGCGTGTGTCAGAATTCCCTTCCTTGTTAAGGCTGAAAAATATCCCATTGTATGTATACGCCACATTTTGTTTATCCATTTCTCTGTCAGTGGACATTTGGGTTGTCTCCACCTTTTGGCTGCTGTGAATAATGCTGCTGTGAACACTGGTGTACCAATATCTCTTCGAGTCCCTCTTTTTAATTCCTTTGTGTATATACTCCAAAGTGAAAATTGCTGTATCAAATGGTAATTCTAGATTTAATTTTTGAGGAACCACCATACTGTTTTCAACAGCTGGTTGTAGCATTTTGTGGGAATGTTCTAGTTTTTCTGAATATATTTCAGTATTGTTTGAATATTCCACTTCTAGGTGTAAGTCCAAGAGAAATGAAAACAAATCCACAGAAAGACTTACATGCTAATGTTTATAGCAACATCATTCATAATAGCCAGAAGGTGGAAATAACCCAAATATCCATTAATGGATGGACGGATAAACAAAATGAGGTATATCCATAGAATGGAATATTATTCAGCTATTTTAAAAAATGATGTAGTGATATATGCCTCAACATGGATGAACCTTAAAAACGTCATGCTAAGTGAGAGAAGCCAAACACAAAAGACCACATATATGATTCCATTCATGTGAAACGTCCCTAATAGGGAAATCTATAGAGACAGAAGGTAGATTGGTGGTTGCCAGGGGCTGGGAGGTATGGGGGCAATCACTAAAGGGTAGAGGGTTTATTTTTGAGGTGGTGAAAATGGTCTAAAACTGACTGTGGTGATGGTTGCAACTGAAAATATAGTAAAAAGGATTGAATTGCATACCTTAAATGGGTGAATTGTATGGTATGTGAATTATATCTCTTCAAAGCTGTTAATATAAAATGAATTGAAGTGAAGTGAAATAAAGGTTGAAAAGGAATACAGGAGGAAGGTCACGAGGAAGAGAAGACAGAGGCCGAGGAGCTGTAAAGCATCAGTTAAGGCAGTTGGATTGGACCGTGTGGGGCTGGACCCTCCTGGATCTGAATGCCAACTATGCCGATTACTGGTGGAGTGACCTCGGCAGTCATTTCACCTCTGTGAATCTCAGTTGCCTCTTCTGAAAAATGGGAGCAACGATGCTGATATCTTGGGGCTGTTGAACACTCGATGAGTTAATAAAAAGTGAAACTGGTGCTATCTCACAGTTGAATGTGGAAGGGATGGAAGTGGACATCATGGCGGAAATGATGGATTGATGATAGCCGGATGAACTGGACCTGGGGAGTGCTTTGTGGTTAGGCTGGCATAAAAGCCCTGGCCGATTTGAGTACTCTGTCTCAGCCTTCTTACCCAGGGGATGTTGGCTGAGCTTTGCCGTGACTCATTCCGCGGGCGTTTGGCTCCATTTCTTCACAAAGTCTGTGCCAAGGGTGTGTCCCTCCCATCATGAGGTTTCTCAAGTGACAGAAAACTTGCTGGAAATAAAGGGCCAGATGGCTGTGCTGCCCAATTCATAGACAGGCCTCTCAGGGGAAACCTGGGATGGTCCCGCACTGTCAGCCTCTTCTCTGAGGTCAGCAGGTGGGCCTGACCCCTCCTCAGTGGCTGTTGGCAACGAGGAGAGTGACAAGACTCGGCCTGGCTTTAGGGAGCAGCTGGTTCTGGAGCCGGTAAGTGACTTGGCAGATATCAGTCCTTCTCTCTCTCAATCTCAATCTCAATCTCTCTCTCCTTCTCATTCTCCCCCTCTCCCTTCACGAATGGATGCTCTGGCCAGTTTGGGGAGAACTTAAGAAATTTGCATCCATTCATCCTTCCTTTCATTTGTTCATTTGTTTTTTATTTGTTTACTCAACCAAAAGCTCTGCTGTAATGCAAGCATAAAGAGTCTGGAAAAAGGGAGAAGTAACTTCCAGTGAGTTAACAGGGATCATAAAATCTACCTTGCTAGATTGTTGAAAGGCATCTAGCACTCTTTCAAGGTCCTTTTCAGATGGAAAAACCAAGACTCAGAGAGGAGAGTCCGATGCTCAAGTTCCCTAGCTGGGCAGGGGCCAGAGGCAGGACTCCATCCTGGTGTGTCTGGCTCCAGAGTCCATGCTCCTTCCACTCTCTCTCACAGTATTTGGTTCCTCTGTCCTCACAGCACTGGCTCCATTGCACGTGTGCATGTGTGTGTGTGTGTGTAAGAGAAAAAGAGAGACAGAGAGGATGTTCATTTCTGTCATAAACTAGAGCTACATGAGGGCAGGGAGCATGTCTGTCTTACAGAGTGTATTCCCAGTGTCTAGCACATAGTAGGCTCCCAGAAAATATTTTCTGGATAGATAGATGTATG